CCCCAAAACCCCAAAACCCCAAAACCCCGAAATGATAATCTCTCAATTTCATAGTTGGTTAGGTAGTCTTTAAAAATTATAAATCTATTAGTAATGGTAAATATTGATAAATTTGTATTTTCATCAAAATCATAAATTTTGTTCCTTTCTGTAAGTTTCAATACATTCTAGAGCAATGTTGACCTATTTAAATTTTTCTTATGCACATTCCTCGTTGCCTCTATTTTTATCAGGATGATATTAAGCCCTGAGTAGTTTCCATTCATTTTTAATTGTTCCTAAGGAAGTTTTTTCTGTTGCATTTAGAGTCTGTAAGCTAATTGCATACAACTTCTTTTTTTGCATAATCGTGACATCTTTCGAGGTATCGCATATTTTATCAGCTAATAGCTTTATTCCTTTGTAGGTATAAATACTTGCAATTCCACCAATTCCTGCTCCAATTATTCCTCCAACTAAGGTACCAATTCCAGGGCATAAACATGTACCAACGCTAGCACCTAATGCCATCCCTAAAGAAGAAATACCCACAGAGATTGCTCCCGAAACTGCAGATACAGCAATTTTTTTCCCAAGCATCTTGCCAGAAATTTCTCCTCTTTAATATTGGCGCAAATGCGAACCAACTTCTACTGCAAAAGCCAATACTGCAACTGTCCAAATAGAATTCGAACTTATCTGGCATTAAAATAGAGCAACTGCATTTGTACCACCTGCTGATATATCCGTGCTAACTTTAATTGCACCTAGAGTTGTCACAGTATTCTCATAGTCCGACAGTTGCATAATAGAGCTAAGCCCTCCCTCTAGAGATAGTTATGCGAAATTTTATCCTAATCCACTAACAGATATAGCTGATTATGCAACCAACGAAGTGCTCTTTGCAAAACTTTCTAAATAGGCCTCCTAACCTATTTATTCTGCAAATCCTTCTTAAAGATTTGTTGCAATAACCTTTTCCGTTTCGTGGTAAATAGTATCTCTAAATATTTCAGCACATTTTTATGGGTCCAGATTCTCAAAGTGGATGCTCTTTTCAATTTTTTAATGTTGTTATTCTTATGTATGTAATTCTTAATTTTAGCATTGAAATATGGGGTCTTATAATATAGCTTCTTCGCAATTATTCTTCCAAAAGAAATTCAATGTCTTGTTCTAGATTCCAATTTTAAAGTCAATTACTTTGTTTTCATTTGGAATCAAACTATTAAAATCATCAAAAGAATAAACTTTTACTTACTCTTCTAAACTCTTATCAGTCTAGAATTACATTTTTCCTTTTTCTCTTTGGCCATTATTTATAGATCCTTGTTAAGTTGCTTTCTTCATGAGAGTAATACTATATAAATTGCGATTTCAAATAAAGGTGCTTAATTAAATTACAATTATTAATGAATTATTTGAATATAATATTTCTAAAAATATTTTTGTTAATAAGGTTGAAACATGCTATATGGGGTTTTGGGGTTTTGGGG